CCCCCCGGGGGGGGGCGCGGGCCCCCCCCCCCCCCCCCCCCTGCCACAGGGACCCCCCGGCAGCCAGCACCACGCCTGGGACGAGGAGCCCAAACCCCTGCTCTGCTCCCAGTACGAAACCCTTTCGGACAGTGAATGAAGCAAGCCAGGGGCAGGGAGACGGTGACCAAACCCAGGGCGCAGGGAGCGAGCGGGATGCCCGGGGCGAGCGCCCACCACCCCGGCCCTGCCGGCTCTCACGAGCGAAGACACAGGAGCAGACCTATTTTATTTTTTCCTTTTCCTTTTTTTTTTCCTTTCCCTCCCAACCAGCCAATTTGGGGGGGATGGGGTTATTTTTATTTTTTTTGTTTGTTTGTTTTTCTTTCTCAACATCTGGAAATTTCTGCATCCTCTTCGGTCTGAAAAAAAAAAAATAGAAAAAAGCCTTAACGAGACAAAACCCAAGGAACCCATCTTCGATCTTGGCAGCCTTGCCGGGCAGTGACCCCCATGCTCAAGAGGGACTGCGAGCGGCCGTGCGCCTGATGCACCCACATCCCGGGGCCACGCGCGCTCGGACGCTCCGCCGGCGGGTTAAAGAAAAAAAAAAAAAAAAGAAAGAAATGTTGAAGCAGTGAAATAGGATGGAACGCCCTGGTTTGGTTCCCCCCAGCTGATCTGAGGGCTGGCAGCCTGTGGTCCCCACATCTCAAGACCTGTCGGCCCCAGAGCAGTCTCAGCACGCTTCAAACGCGGCTGGGATGAGTGGGCAGGGGAGGGAGTGAAGAGCTATTTCTTAAAAAACAAAACAAAACAAAAAATCCTGGTCCCTTTGGTGGAAGCGATCCTGGGCTTAAATTGGAGCGGGCAGGGATGTTCCCGGGCTGGCTCGCGCGCTGCCCACGGAGGGGCTCGGTTGCTTTAAGTGCATTGTTTTCTGAATGGTGAGAAAAGGCAATTGTAAATTGTATTGGTCTACAGGGTATATTTTTGATACCTTCAGTGAATTATGTCAATATTTTACGCAAGGAAGGACTTAAAACACAGTGTTACATGCTGTAAAAGAGGTTCTGTTCTTACATGCAGGCTTTGATGCGTTTGTCCATTGTATGGAAGGGTTTAAAAAAACAAAAAAAAAGAGGAGAAGGTAACAGTGATCCATCAAAGTTATCTGTAAGTCAGGAGAATGTATGAACTTAGTTTAAAAAAAAAAAAAAAAAATCAAAATCTTGCCATGGTTGCAGGGCCCCCCGTTACACACACCTTTGCTGAGTCAGCAGAAATTGTTTGCTGGTTGTAGCCGTTGATTCTCCGGAGCCCTCCGAGCTGGCCGGGTGCAGGGGCAGAGCAGGCAGGAGGCCGGCATGGCAGGGAGTTCACAGGAAACGAAAAAAAAAAAAAAAGAAGAAAAAAAAAAAAACAGGAAAAAAAAAGTTTTTATTGTATTTTTGTGATACACACGAATGCTCTACTTTACATTATTTTTTTCATTCCATGATGTTGGCTCATATCTGCAGTTACATGGTTAAAGAACAAAATATTAGACTTTTTTTTTTCATTCACTTCTGCTTTCTCGCTCTGGGGGGAAAAAAAAAAGGGCAAAAAAACAAAAATATGTATTCAATGCTTTGCATTCTATACGCTAGAGGAACCCAGAGCACGGCACAGGCCTCTCGCGTGCTGGGTGGGCAGCCGGCCCCCGCAGCCCTCCCATCCCACGTGTGGGGCCAGCGGCAAGGCCGGCGCCGTCACCTTCCTGATGGATCTTTCTTTTCCCCCTGCAACGTTCCCAGGTTGATTCTGATTTCAAAGCAAGCAAATGATGGTGTTTGTTGTTTGTTTGGGGTTTGGTTTTTTTTTTTGTTGGGTTTTTTTTTGTTTTTTTACAATGTACAGGTTTTTAATGTTCATCAATGTTTGTGTCTTTTCTGTTGTGCTTTTTTTTTTTTTTAAAGAAAAAAAAAAAAATCCGAGACAATGCACAAGCGATGTGGAAGTCTTTCCGTTCCCAGGTTATTGCTGCTGGTGTCTCTGTGGCTCTGACATGTAAAAAAATAACAGAGCTGATGTCTGGGCATGACGCTATTAAAGTGTTGCAGATTTTGCTGGGGAAAAAAAAAAATTCATCCAAACCTGACCCATCTTCAAAGCCGCCTCCTTAACCTTTTTGGAAACAAATAGCAAAAAAAAAAAAAACCCACAACAAAGAATAAAGTTCCCACTTGGCACAGTAGCAATACTGTGTGCTGCTTTGGTCTCACCAGGAGCCCCCCCCTCGCTCTCACTGTGCTGCCCGCAGCCCCGCAGCGTGCCAGGGGTGGAGGCGCTGGGGTGGCGTTTGGGTTCTTCGCCGTGTGGGCATCCTGTGCTGACCCCGCAGGCTGAGCACCACCGGGCGCTGGGACATCAGGAAGGGACACAGACTCCAGCCAGGAGCTGCAGAGCCACCTCCTCGCCGCCCCGGCCGGAGCGGGGTTGGGTTGTCCCCATTGACCCTGGGCAGCATTCGCCCACACCTGAAGCCACGGGCTGGAGGGTGACAAGCTTGTCCCACCCTTCGGTGCTAACCCCGTAGCCATGTGTCTCTTTTCCTCTTGTTTCCAGTGTGTCTGTGTGTGTGCGGGGCGAGGGGTCGGAGCTGGCGGGGCTGGCCAGGAGCCCTGAAGCACAGCTGATGCCCAGGGCTGTGCCACAAGGGTGTCAAAAGAGTTGTCAGATGTTTGTGAGGTTGTTTTAGTACTTTGGGGGTTTGTGGTTCAGTGCTGGTGGACAGATGGTTGGGCAGATGTTACCCACTGTCTTCTGGGCAGGGCAGCGTTTGCAGGAGGGGATGGTGCTGCGGGGCTGGGAGGACATGGAGGTATCAGGGAGCTGCTGGTGCCCCCCAGCCGCTGTGGGGCTCCGGCAGCCTCATGCCCCTACTCAGTGGGATCCTTTGGGATTGTCTGTAGAGCAGGACATGTCACTGGTGTTCCTGGCTCTGTGTAAGATCTTGGGCCCCTTCTGTGCCGTGTGTCCCCATCACACCAGGACAGCCTGCCCTGGGCTGGGAGCCACGGGAGGTGAGACTGGCCGTGGCAGGGGTGTGCGTGGGTTTTGTTCCGGCAGGATCCTACACTTGGGGATCCCCCTCGCGGAGAGCTCGGCCCCGCAGCTGGCCGTGGCACAGCTTGGGGGCAGCAGCAGCTCCTGTCGGGGAGCTCCGAGCCGCCCTTGCTGGGGTGCCGGAGCAGGGACCTTCCTCCCCCTGCAGATTAATTAATTTGGGTCAAATTGATGAGTTGGCAGCGTGCTGGGTGGGAGTCCCGCAGCCACTCAGTGGGGAATGTTCTCGGCCCTGGGGGCTGCTGCAGGATGGCCCCCCCATTTCCCTGCTCACATGTGGGCTGGAGGAACGTGGGTTTGGGGAAGAGGAGGAGCTGCTGCTCCTGCAGGACGAGATGCTCCCCCCCGTCCCGCCCTGCTCAGGCCCCCGCGCCCCCCCCTGCCA